GGGAAGCCCCTCCTCCGTAATCCCACCGGCTCAGATTGTCGCATGCGGCCTTAGGCACAGTCCTTGCCCACCCGGACCATCGAGTCCCGACAGCTCGGGTCCGGGGCATTCGAGCTAGGGGCTCTCGACCGAGAAGCCCCCGCCCTGAAAACTTTACAGGCAGACTGAAAGGCCTCAGGGAGGCGGTAGTTTTCCCCCGGCGGAAGGGGGCTAACCGTGCACGGGTACGAGAGCCCACCGTGCGGCTGCACCCCTCCATCGCCGGCCCATGGGTGCGCACGGAGCCGCCCGATCCCACAATGGGCATTGCACCGATTTTCCGCGGCAGGATCCTTCCCTGCCTGTCCCTGAACGCGTCGAGTGGGCCGCCTGCCCGCGGGCAGTCGCTGCGTGGCTGTGCGGAGGTTCGTTGTCCCTGGAGGTGGCGCAGAGCCCCCATGGCTCGCGCGGCTTCGGATGTGCTTCCGTGGCTGCGCTGCTTAGTTGGCCGGATTACGCGAACGTTTCTGTCGGGTTGTCGCTGACCCTGGGTCCTGTCGCCGTAGCCTGAACTGCCGATACTGTCCCAGGAACCGTGTTGTCCATACGATTCCACCATGGCTGGCCATGGCTCCCCCGTACTGGAGTCCCATGTCACCAAACTCTGGGCCTCACGGGGCACCAGCTTGTCGCAGCTGAATGGCGCATAATGGAGCCACAATGGACTCATTATTGGTGACCCGAGCACAAGGCAAAGATATGTCTTCCAACTGGGGGTCTGGAGGTAACGCTCACTCCCATTTCTTATTGAGCCATCACAATATATCAAAATCTAGCGGGGGAGCGTGTCATGTCAGCAACTTTGGGGACCTAAGTCGCAGTTTGCCTGTTCTTTTGCCTATTGGCGCTATTGGTAAGCTTTTTGCTGCAGGCTGCAAGCTCACCAGATGGCGCAGTGTTGCGATTATTTGGGAGTGCATGGCACACAACCACTGCGCCATCGGACCAGCATCCAGATCTCAGCCAAGGCCACACACATCCATTGGATCCGTACTTTGAGCAGGCGCCTTTCAACAATGATATCGTTCAAATCCCCTCCCCCTCAGCCAAATTACATCTGCACTGGTACATTTCTAGGAGCAAGTGCTGGTGACTGAAAATTTATGCCAAGAAAATATCCTCCCGAATCGAGCCGAAGTGTTCATTCCGTTGTTCGCCTTCGCGCTTCACTGCATGCCACCCTCAGTACCCAGCCCATACATCACGCCAAAACTGCACTCTCATGATCCCTGCATGTAAAAGCACTCACGCTGTATTGTGATGCTCCGATCACCCATCGCACCTATCACTAATAGAAGAAATCATCAAATTAAACGATGCCTGGTAGGACAACAACGGAACCACCCACAGGCAAAATCTTCCACCACGTCCCTTGAAAAGACTCCCTTCAGCCTCTGTTTCTCAACACAGTCTGCAAAACTTGCAATTCTGCAGTTGGGCCTGCCGCTCCCCGCAAAACCATACAAGGGCATTGCGGTTCTCGCCCACAGACGGCTGACGCAGAGCATACTGCCAGGTGGATACGGCTGTGCCGTAAATACGGTCAAAAGCAAGAATACTGGCGGCGGCTGTGTGAGCCCATTGGTTGCCAGCCACGCTATGCTGCTGTTTCCTTAGTCCAGTTCGCGTGCTGCAGCACAAAAACAGGGGATCTGTATTCAGTACCTTGACTGCTACAGCACTGCGCAAAAAAGCAGACAACCCACTTGGCGCAACATTGGCAATCAGCCACAGTCCGCACATGTCAACCATGGAGTCTGCACTTGATCTGTCGACACACAGGTGGCCCACAAGGATGCCCCACGATGTTGGAAATAGCATCCAATAGTGCAGCTTCGCAGAAAATGAAAGAGCCACAGACTAAGACACGTGCAAACAGGATAAGCACGCAATCACTCTCGTCCTCAACTCTAGCCCTCTGCGGCATTCCACGCAGCGGGTAAGCTTGGTGTTTCAAGACCAGTTGCGAATCTAAGCACACACACATCAGAACTATCAATGCCCTTGCCACCAGTCGAAAGAACAGCAACGCACCTCAGAGTTTCCGTTTTCCGAGTTACCAGAACTGTCGGGTTGCACCACGTTCCCATACCCAAGCGCCACCATCCGTTCACACTCTGCCACGTCTTGCTCCAGGCCCGCTAGAGCACCGTCACTTTTGCTCTCAAATTCAGCGACAATCATGTTGTCGTCAGGGTGGTACAGCCACTTGTACGTGCGGTTCAGGTACCTGTATCCAAACGTCACCGCATAGACCCCCAGTATGGTGAGCCAAAACGTTGCCGTGGAGAACAGGTTCACCGCCGTTCCAAACTGCGCGGGATCAAACATGTCGATTGACCTCTCCACGTAGGGGAAGACCAAGAAGAACGGGTACACCAGTAAATAGCTCAGCAGCACAAACAAGATGTACACAAAGGTCCAATATCTAGTCACGAGAGAGATTTCCAACGTGACGGCACCAAGGAGGGCAATGAACGAGGTCTTGCCCACAGACCACAACCCGTGCGTGGAGTCCCTCCCTGCGGGAACAGCTGCGTAGAAGGGGATGAAGAAGCATATGGCGCCAACGATCATGCCATCCAAGATGCCAGTCCTCCAGAACACGCTGTTGCTGAGCGAATGTGCCCTGTTGTACAGCTGGGGGAACCGAATGAAGGACGCATCGCTGACGGGCCGGTCCAGGACTGAAAACAGAAGGATGGGCACGGCTGTGAAGACGACATTGTACATGGCCGCCGAAATGTCATCAACCAGCGTTTGGCCTGCAGGCAACAGTGGTTCAGGTTTAAACACTCTGCCACGTTTGTGCAATGGACAGGCGCTCACGTGAATGAGAACTTCACGGGAGTGCCATTGCCCATTGCCCACGCTGCTCAATTCATGCGCAGCCACAGGAGGCAGCAACACAGATCCAAAAATCCAAAAGAACTTTTGTACTGTGCAACAGGAAGCGCACTGCTCTTTGTGCCACATCAGAGTAAACTGGCGGCAATGCAATACATTCGGGGAACGAGGGGATAGACAAGACTTTTTGAGGGCAGCACCCACCTGAGAATCCACAGAATATCTGAAAATAAATCAGGATGAAATCGAAGGCGATGTTCTTGAAAAACGAGTACTTGATGAGCCGAGCAAGCCGGTAATTGGAGAGCTGGCCATGAACCAGCAGCAGCCTGACCAGGAACCGGAACTGCGAGATTGCGTAGTCGGAGTTGTTCACAGCCTGCCGACCCTCCTTTCCAGCAATCCCCACTCCAACATTCGCTGCCTGAATCATGGCCACATCATTGGCTCCATCGCCAATGGCAAGGCTCTTGCTCTTGATTTTTTTGTCCTGCTTACGAAACCATCTTGAAATGAAGTTTCCAGTGCCTTCAGCCTTCCTCATTTCGAACTCATCCATGACCCTTACGATTGCTGCCTTTTGTGATGGCGATGAGCGACACACAACAACAGCTCCGCTCATTGATGCCAGATCAGCAAGTTCGCGCTCCAAAATGTGGCCATTGTGCTCCTTCCCAATGATGAAATTCAAACTTGGGCCGTCAACAACAAGCTCGACTGGCTCATTCTTTTCCATGCGTGCCTCCGCCTCCTTCTTGCATTCAAGAATGTTTCTCACTGCCTCTGGTTATGGCATCATAACATTGCAGGTGTCAAATTGGGTGCAAGCACAGTGCAGGGCAGCCACTGAGCGGATGTATGGCCACCAATCCAAGTGATGCTGTCCACATGTACAGCAACATCCAATAGTGTGGACAAGTGACATAACCTTGGCAGATATTTTAACAGCATGAAAAATGCAATAAATGACGATGATGCTTTGCGCAGATTATATCAAACCAGATACAACTGACTCCCAGGAAAGGAAGGAGCTTCCAAGTACACATGGTGCAACACCAAGTGTCAGATTAAGACTCCATGTGCAAGTCTTCCTCACATCACAACACAAAGCTGCGATTCAGCAAGGTGTGTGCCTGTGACATGTGCACATCAAACACAGCAGCAAACCTGCAACAGTGCCCTGTTGAGTGCAATTATTTTCTTTGTTGTTCCACAGGACACTAAAAACACTGCACCCCAATTGTCTATCATACAACAAAAGTACGAAACGCGAGACACATACTTTCATAATTGGAAAGCAATGGCAGCTAGTAATCGTGTGATCTGCTGCACTTACCCTCCTCGGAGTCTGCCGTCAGGATTATGACACTCTCCTGCCGCCGAATCAGCCGACATGACACACCAATGTTTATGGCTGTCTCCATTTTGTCCCCAGTGATCATCCAAACCTTCATATCTGCCATCCGCAATGTTTGAATGGCCATTGGCACCCCTTCTTGGAGCTTATCCTCAATGGCTGTGACACCCACGAGTTCCAAGTCACGCTCAATGGTGTCGGCGACTCGCGAAATTTTTCCGTCACGGTCGTCCAGACTTGAGGCAGCCTTTTGGTATTCCTTGTCCCACAGCTCCCATTCCTCCTGCAGGAGCACCCGTGTCCCTAGCACCAAGGTTCGAAGACCCTGCCCAGATCGAAAGCACCTCAGAAATAAATCTGTGTGGCCAGCCAAAAGAACAAAACTCTGGATTTTGGCTTAAAGACTGTAGTTATAGGCATCACACTTGACAGTGCCTCAGGGAGCAATTATGCTCAACATCGCTTTGATTTAGCACCTTTCAACTATGAATTATAGAACAATACACTACATTCACATATGTACAGTACCTGTATAGACTGAAATGTATGTTCAGATTTGCTCCCAGCATGCGCACTGCAGACCCTCGATAAATGATTTGGCCTGTTCTGGGGGTATTTCTCAGCAGTTTGGGACTATGTGTTGCACCGCAGTTACAATGGTTCAATGTCCAATCGCTCACTGGACATTGTTTGCCACAGTTTGCAAAAGAAAGTCCATCTTGTAGCCAATTTGAATATCAGGAGCTACATTTGGACCCATGCTTGGATCATCGCAATAAGCAAGACACAAAGCATGGTCTTTTCACCTTGTCTCAACAGTCTGTCACCAGTGAAAATATGACCAACCAGGTACCAAATGTCCCCTTAAATGGTGAAGCATATCCGCCAATGCCCAGCACCAGATCTGTACATCGGCTGTTGCTGCGTTCCAAGTTCTGGCCAACCTCCAGCAGTTCCTTCACTCCCGTCAGTGCACAAAACTAACCATTCCCAACAATCGCTGCACAATATGCAGGAATTTGTTTGCAATGAACGCAAGTATATTGAGATGGCATACCCTCCAGACATCTCCATTCTTGGCACTACTGTCAACGGCCAAGTTTACAACACACAGCATGATGTCCAGGGTGGTGTGACAGCCTCATGGCTTACAATTACAAGCCAACCAACTCATGCAAACCACCCTGCGGCAAGGCGTACAACCCACCTTGACTGAGAAGTCATACAGATCCACTTGTGTCTTTCGCAGCAACTCTTGGTCTGTGTTGGACTGGAGCCGCTCCAACATCGCATTATCCGCCCCCTTGCTGTACAATCGGATGGTGCCATCATGGGATCGGGCAATCACCGACATCCTCTTCCGATCGCTGCTGAATTCCAGGACATTCAGTATGTCGAATTTGACTTGGTGTTCTTGCAAATTTAGCGTGATATCGCTGATTGTGCGTTCACAGTACTCAAAGCCCAACTGCCTCCCAGCTTCCACGAGCGCCACTTCGTCAGGTGATGGACCCTGTCAAACCAAAGCAAAACTTGCAACCATAGCTTCAGAAAGACAAACATGTGTGCATTACTGCATGAAACTAGCAATTATTACCTTCTGTGGCAGGCACGGTGGATGAGACACGATGCACCTGGGGTGTCTGCTGCAGAGACTATCAGGACTCAAGCAATTACTCAAATGGGTTGTTGGACTGCTTATTAGCAAACAGGCAACAGACACTGCATGGGTTGCCACTGACTTTGCTAATTGCTTGTGCTTGTGCTGCTGGCTTCCACTCGTTGAGAGTTTAACACAATCTACAACAGTCTATTGGAGAAAGTCCTCAGCGGCTGTCATAACATTCAGTTCAAGAATATATGTGTGTAAAAAGCACTTGCCTTGCACCTCTCAAGGCAGCAGTATGCACAACCCATGATGTCTCCCTGTGCAAGTGCCTACAAGGACTCTGGTTCTGTACCACCATGTACTGGTAGCTTTGTACTGGTAGCTTGTGCTGGTAGCTGTGAAAACCTAGGACTTCAACTGGGATAGTCTCCATAAAACATGATTCGCAACCTTCCCCATTGGCATGCCTTGGTGTAGTCATACCAAGCTGGGTATGGCAGTGTCTTGAGAGCCATGCAGGACTCGCATCACCACATGGTGACAAAGGGCCCACATGCAGTGTGCCTGACACAATCCTTCTCTGACAAACCCATTTCATGTGCCCACCTGATAGATTTTTTTCATTCCTCCATTTTCATCGGGTTGCTCTTCAATGATCAAAGAATGGCAAATACACAAATTGGTCCAGAAATCGACGATGTGCCATCCAAGCACAAATTCCCCAACATCACGGCTTTCAACTCTGATGTGTGCCTCAGGCTCCCCTCTGCTCCCCGAAAAATCTGCAAGGCAGCAATGTAGACAATGCTGACTGTCCATGCACTGGTTGCTAACAGATGACACTCATCAAACAGGTGTTGACAAAGTGTACAAGCCCAGACATCAGTCTGCTGTTCTCATTGCCCTGTCCAGTTAGTGTGCAAGAGGTTCAGCAGCACACGAGTCCCTATGCCAGTGACACTTCCAGCAACCGCTGCAAGAGACCGTCTCTTGCTCCTCTGAGCAGCATCCAGTCACACACTTTGGGCATCCAAGCAAAGGATACGTGACAAAGTCTCTTACCATACAACACAACGCACAGATCGTCCAATATGAGCTTCATAGTGCAGTCACACGAGCAAAACAGCCAAAGTGGCGGCCAACGAGTCAGTGCGGTGAGCAACCTCATCTGTGTCGCATGGTCACAGGCATGGGCATTGCCATCAACAGCTGCCCTCCAAAGCCAAATTGAAGCATGGCAGTGTTCTTGCTGGCGCCCTATCCTGCAATAGTGTCACAATCAACAGCTGCACAGGCTGCTCATGCCAACAGCAGCTCACCATCGACCTCCTTGCGGATTGCATTCTTTGTGAGCGTCCTGGCAGTCTGCAGGACGGGACCACCTCCAGCCAGCCGGAGGACCTCTTCACGGCTGCCGCCCTGGTTCATCAAGCACTTCCAGAAGTTCCCGTCCTTCAAAATCTGAACAGACTGTAAACATGGCACATCTCACAGTCAGTGATCTTGCACAGAATCCTTAGGCAAGGGCATGTGGCTTGCTCGATCCAAGAGAATCAAGCCACCATGTGAGAGAAAAACTGGATCATCATCGGTAGCAATGCTCTACCTTTTGCACACACGTAGCTGGAGAGAGCAGACACATCAACCACCACACAGGCTCAACAGCTCCATGCCGGCCTAATACGCACAGTGTTCACCATCATGCACATCGTCTACCCACCTTTGCAAGTCTTGGATCGAATTTCTCCAAAGAAGGGGGCCCCCTGGCTTCTTGGCCAAGCTCCTCCAACCTTCCACATCAAAGCGCACGTCAGCATGTCTACCAGTCACCATACACACTAACACACTATTGTCCTGTGCATAAACTATGACATCTCTGCAGAGTGGTGACCTCGACTCAGCACTTCTGGGTCCTTGGGCGCCTGTACCATCAATGCCATAATCATAAGGTGCATGGTAAACATTTTGCTGGAGGCTTTCTTTCATCCATTCACTGCAGTACCCTTTTTGCAAAAAAATTTGCAAAACTTCCTACTATACCCATCTCTGGCACAGGGCAAGCCTGTTTGGAAGAAAAGAAGACTGGTGTTGTCAAAGTCAGAACCCTGTCGGCACCTCATATGCACAAACACAAGTATTGACGAAATGGCAAGACCAATGCACCAACCTGTCATCAGTTAGAACAGGTTGTAACCACATGCCTTTGAGCCACCTCCTTGTGATAAACAAAGCCAATCAAAACAATTGAAATAAAACCTGATCAATTAAATCAATCAAGTTTGCAATTCATAGTGCACGAGTATCAGTTCATATTGTTCACCAACTGACCTGATTTCAGGGTTTCCAAAAACGATACCCTTGATGGATACCATCCTCAGCTGCATTTCATTGCTGGTCAGTGTTCCTGTCTTGTCGCTGAACACATACTCCACTTTTCCCAAGTCTTCATTCAGATTCGAATTGCGTGCATGTGCATGGCTTGATTCGTTTCCCTCTTCCAACACCATGTTTGGATCATTATTGATGAACACGAATGCCTGTTGCAAGCCAGATCCGAAGATCAGCCACAAACACAAAAGCATAGGTGCGCCCATCTCCATGCTTTGCAAATATCCAGTCTGATGCAGCAACCTATATGCATTAAGAACTCTGGCAGCTGCACACAATACTACCACAGCCATGATGTGCATCGTGCAGTCCAATGAAATGCATGTCATGTCCCCCAGGACTATTCCACAGCTAACTACCAGCACGTGTTTGGTAGCTAAGCACCATCGCCCTGCTAGCTGGTGCCAAGCCAGCACAGTAAACTTTTGGAGATTACATTACTGCATTATTGGCCTTCAATAAGAGTGGCACAACGGGTGCAGAAACGCTGGCACATGAAACTTGGGGCACAAGCACCTGGCCTATTTGCACAATGTGAATGCTTGGCACACATATTATTGTGTCCCACAAAGCATGGAATCGAACTCAGTGCACAGCACAGAAAGTGCAGTGTGCCCACCTGCCAAAATTTCACAATCTCCATGGTGACAAACAAACTGATAGGCACCATGTATGATGTCAAAATCCAGAAAGTTAGAAAGACAAGGAAGAAGTACGTGACGCTGTCCTCATAGTTCCCTGCAACATACTGGTCGAATGCCAGGAAATAACGCTTCTTCCCTTCCTCCTCTCGCCATATCAGATTTCCAGCCGCCAAGCAGACGCACATGATGGCCTGCAAAGGCAAGAAACAACCAGTGACAGGCTAGCAACGCAAGCCACAAAGCAGCCACGCACATGATCGCTTGGCAAACACCTGGTCCCATTGCAGTGTTGGAGCTGGGCTTCCACAGCACTGGAAACAGCAGAGTGCAAGGAGAGACCAACACAGCTGCCCATTCAGACTGTTGTTCACCATTCTTTCTTTGACCACCACCTACATTTGCTGCAGATGGATAGCAAATGGATAAAATAAACAGAAGAGGGACAGAAAAAGTTTTGGAGCAAACATGCCTGTCATCGCCCACAAAGGCCCTGCTTTGTTTACCGGAGCAAAATTCAATCGAAGGAGACTAGCTGCTGGGGACTGGTATGCATATATTACCATTCAGAGCCCAACATTTGGAGCGGGACCCCATTACAACTGTCCTGCTCAAATACCGTGGCCAGCAAGTGTGCTCTGCGCACGCACCTGTATCACAATCAGGGCGTAGACCTGGATATTCAAGAACAGGTCGAACGACCCATATTTCAGGGGTGCAGCGGCTGCATTCTTCTGGATCCTTGATTCAGGCCCAGTGTACACAACCAAGCCATAAACATGCCTGCACAAATCAGCACACCACAGGCAGGTTTTCGATTAGCCTGACGGCTGTCAATAATGCATGCTCAACCACTGGGCTCACACAAGCAGAGCCCATTACCCCACCAAACTTCAAGGTAGTACATCCACACACAGGCCAGCCTCAGAGATTAAGTCAGGAACAGGATGGTCAGGTGAGCAACCTCTGCAGCAGCAGCAGCACCACCACCACCACCTGCTCAGGCAACCTCTTCATCGTCCTGGACCACTGACCGAGATCAGCCGGCCCCTTCCCTACCACCCACTCACCTTGAGTTCTTCAGCAGTGTGCCTCTCAGAAGCATCTCATTCATTGTGACAGGCATCTGAGTCCTTCTAGTGGCACCCGTGCTGTCACTGTAAGTAGCCTGAAATCGGCCCTTGTATTTGTGCAGATTGCGATTTGGATGCTCGCTTTCAAGCTGCCCTCTGAATGATTCAGGGAGCTTCATGGTCTGCAAACGAAAAACACAAGGCACCGTCATTCCATGTCTCAAATGCTGTCACACACTGTCCAAAACTACTCCAATCAAGCTGCAGCAAAAACCTTGTCTTGCAACAACCAGTACAACAAATGGAATCTAACTTAAAAAGGTGGAAAAGCCTGATCTCTTGACATGACAGTACAGCACTGCGATGATGATATTGATATTCCACGACAGATGAGGAGGGACATATCACGCACATGTCTGAGGTTCACCAAGCGACGCTTCCAAATGGTGAAGTATTGTGCGCAAGTGAGCATTTGAGCAAAGCAAAACATTTTCCAGCAGACAAAGCACATACATCCTCGGTGTCCATAGTAAAAGAGGTGCGCTTACAGGGCACCACCCCACTGACAGACCCTGCCAACCAAAATTCAGACCACAATCTTCCCAAAACAACTGCTGACAGAATATGAACCATTTTTTTCCTGACCTCCTTCTCGTCCTCCCCAAATCCAGGGACACCACGCAGATCCACTGGTTTCCTGATTTTAAGATTGGACTCGCCATCCAGATTCGTTGTCCGTATGTAGCAGAGGTTGTCAGCAAGACCAGTTTTTAGGCACATTAGGTCTGCAGGAAACAGCTCATCGTCTGCAACTTTGACGACATCGCCGACTTTCACATCTTTCCATTTCTTCTCCTCGACTTCCCCTGCATCCACAACCATAACATGGAATGCTACAAAACAATCCCGGCCCACAAGCCCCAACCAAGCAAATTGCTACCAGAATAGCCAAGTGAACCTCAGCTTCTCAATTCTGTGCACAGCTGTAGCAGTTCAGTCACCAGTTTACAACTGCATGCTTGTGCACTGTGCGACAAGGGGCCCTTTTCCTACATCTCATATGGAGTTGGGCTGCTCCAGGTTGCTGCGGCAAGTCTCCAATGGCAGTCTCCAGCATGGTATCCAATAGTGCAAACAAGTGCAAGAATAAGTAGACAATACAGTGCAAGGATATCCAAGGGCGGAGGACAACAGAATAAAACACATTCTGCAGCCAACCACCCCACCTGTCTTGAGATTTACCACAGTTGTGGGTGTGTTGTTGGTCACTTTGTCCTCCACATGCCTCTTGTAATCCTCAAGGCCTGCCTTCACAGCTGAGACAACCAAGACAAATAAGAGCGCAGCAGTGGCACCCACACCGCTGAATGGCGAGACCTCCTCCCACCATGACAATCCCGCCTGCAGAACCACATCACAAAATGATGGCAGGCGTGTACCAGAGACTGCAAGCAAACATGTCAACCTCTTCGAACACATCAAAGAAGTGTGCATGCATATACTGGACAAGAAGAGGACAGAGCAAACAGTCAGTACCCGACAGGGACAACCTTGCCCAGCAACGGCTGTCTGCCTACTCATAGCATGGGAATTACTGCATTATGAACATAAAAGATAACTGGCTGCAGGCTTCATCCGACTGTCCACATATATAACCAAAAGCAACAGCATTCTGAGGGAAAACAGGACCAGTATGCACAAGAGTCCAACTCTGGAATAAGAAAGCCAATGTCCATGCATTCACTGTGCAGTGGCACAAGGCATTTGCCCAGCTTTGCCTGAGGAACGCCAAAACATGCAGCACGGCCACAACAACAACACTGCCACAAGCACGTTCCCTCAACCAATCAATGTCCATCGCCCACCTGCAGCAGAAAATACAAGTATGCTGCCCGTCGAAACATTTCAAGCAGGAAGATGGGCAGGAATGTGGCGACATTGTACTTAGACGTCTTGATCGCGTTGCTCTTGAATGTCGCTGGGAGGGTCTCGCCACTTGGGTCGATGTACACGTTTCGCCATTCCTCTGTAACCTTTGGACACAATAGGCAGGCAGGCAGAAGACTTCAGAACAAGCCGACACAACAGCAACAACAACACTACGCCAGCAATTCCTGGGAGTGCATTTCCCTCTGACAAACAGAATCGGGGACCCCGAGAAGCGCCAAATTGCGAAGCAAGGCCGCCACGCAGCCCTGCCAACAAACGACACGAAACTGACACCTGCATACCTTGCATTGGACCAGACGATGCCGGTCGCGGCCAGGTTACGTTACGCCACGTTACGTTACGTGGCACTCTCACCGACAACGCGCAGAGAGCTGGGCACTGAAGGGGCGAAGCATCACGAAGCGGGCGCCAAGAGCACCCCGCGCAATTGACGTGCATGTCATGGGGCCACAATAGCGCACCTGGGTGGAAGCCGCTTAGTATCCGCGGCCCCGCCCGAAACCTGACGGCAAAACTGATTGCGAGGCCCTAAACCGCCATCGCGCCTCCAACGCCAAGCCAGCGCGAGCGACTTTGTCCCATGAATGAAAGCTGCGCAATTGGTGTGATACCCACGTCCGGGACCACGTGGGAAACGGGTGCCCGCAACGGGCCATACCCAACTGCAAGCAGGCCGGCCTTCCCCTCAAGGGCATGGCCTCGTGAGCCAGTCTGTGCGGGTTGGGAAGGCAAGGGAGGGGGAAGGGCATTACCTTGCTGCCTAACCTGGGCAGTTCTATTTCGTGGGGGGAAGGGGCCTCAGCCCCTGCCCCCTCCTTGGCCTGCGAGCGGGGCGAGGCAAAAAGCTCGTAGCCATCAAGGAAAGAAAGCGTCCCCACGTTCTTCCTGGACCCAGTGCCCATGTCCCCGCGTCTCAGCTGCGTCGTTTCGGTGCGCTCACCGCGGCCATCGGTTCGCGGTGGGGTTTCGTGTGCTAACGTTTGTTAGGGGGGGTACAGCCGCGGCTTGTACAGTTCACAAGGCGGTCAAACTTCGCCCAAACCAGTGACAAACACTAACGTAAGTACCCAACAAAGGCGCACAACGCGCAGCCCCCAACCAGCCGCCCGGCGCGGTGTCGTTGGCTTTTGCTCTCCTCCCTGGGCGGAGGGCAGCCCTATTGGCCAGAGGCTGCTGGTTTTCAAACGCGCGTTTTCAAACGCGCGGGTCAGCCGAAAGGAGGGTTTGCCCAAGGCAAGAACAAGCCCTCCTTTCCGACCCTGCGCAGTCCTCTCCAAACGCCCATGGCTCCCCTTCCCCTCGTGGAATGTGTCCCCTACGTCCACCAGGACGCCCGTGGCGTCTCTGTACCTTCCCCGCAGGCAGATGCAGCCAAACTTTGGCCTCAACGGGGCACAGTGAACCCCTCCCCAGTGCCATTAACCACCGCCCACCCGCCCCTTCCCCTCAGCAGCCCACTCCCCCCTGCGATCCTTCCCCCAACTGAGGGCCCCCCGGCAGCCACACGGCCGGCGACGCCAACCGGCTGCCCCAAACCCCAGGCGCCTCGCTCCCAGCCATGGATAAAGGCCGCCAATGGGAACAGATTGGGGTAGGGGTCGCCTCCCGAAGCGAGTGTGACCAGCGGCCAGGGGGGCGCCCGTGATTGGGCGTGATGCGCCGAGCCCGAAGGGCCTCTAGGCCTCCAAGCCAGCTGCCCGCCGCCCCATCCAGCCGCGGATCCAACGTCCGGGACACGCGCACGCACGGCGCCGATGAGTCGGCCCCTCGCGGCGGACCCCGCCAGCGATCACCCCCCCCCTCGGTGTGGCCCCTCACCGCTGGCTGCGCGGTGGTCCCGGGCTGCATCTCCAGCTCCTGGGACTTGGGCTCGTCCACCTTCTCGTAGTGCCGCTCCCTGCGCTCCAGGTCCGCCAGCCGCTTGACGCTGGCCGCGTGCATCGTGAGCGGGAAGGTGGGCGACCTGCTGAGGCCGCCCCATTCCCCGTCCCCCTCCAGCCCACCGCGCCCGGAGGCGCCCTGCATGAGGACCGACGCAGTCTTGCGTAGCGCCCGCTTCAACCTTGCGGACATTCGCAGCGGGGTGTCCGCCGACCTGGGCGCGTGCACTTCGTCGCGTCCGAGCTCCGCGGGCAGCCTGCCAACAAACGGTTTCTGAAGGTTTTGCTCGTGGCGCTGTTTCTCGCCCTCATTTCGGTGCAATGGGGCCGTGAATGGAACCTGGAACGGGGTGGGCTGGGCCCAAAGAGTAACGCAGAAGCACGGCTGTGGGGGCGCTGCAGATTTCACGGAACCAACGTAATGTTCACGACGCCTGGCGGCATCAGCCTCCCACGCCTCCGGTGAGCAGCGTCACACTCAGCGGTCACTGCAGCGAAAGGCAGGCGAAGGTCTCCACGCCGAGCAAGACGTAAACTGCATGGAAGGGACGCGTAACCCACGGCCGCCCTGAGAATAAGAAAAAGGAAAGAGATAACTCCGAATGTGGGTCAGCCTAATGCAGTGTGAACGGGCAATGACTGATGTGACTTCTGTTACCACTGTATCCCATCGTGGCTGATGACCTCCACGGAGTGATCAGCATGTCTGAGTCTGTGGGAGGACTTCTTGTGTTGTGAGCTCAGGATGACGGGACCTTGCAAGAGCTTCCCACGCTCTGGCCCTATCAGGGATACCTAGGTCTGCCACCAGCCACACTCTTGTTCTATTGGGCCTTCGGGGGCCTGAGTATCCACTGGAACATCCAGCTTGCATCCAGGGGATCCTTGCAAACACAAGCATTCAAAGTGCAGCGCACTACCGTACAGCACGGCGCATTGAATATCTCTACAAGCATGGTGACGCGCCGTCCTGTTGGCGGTTCATGCCAGTCAGCGAAATCAGCCTGTCGATTCCGTTGCCCCTGTGGACTACATGGTACGCTTTGGAACCGTGTTCTCCCCAGCGCAACCAACTCGACATAGTGCGTTCCCTGAGGCCAAGTTAAAAGTCAGAAGTTAGACGTAAATTAATTATGCCTGTAATTAGGCCAAGTTAAAAGTTAAACGCAAATTAATTGAGAAGCGGGCAACGCTTCCCCTGTCCCTCACACAACAGCCCTTGCTGTGTGGACGAGCATGGCGCCACTTTTCTTTGGACGGCGCGCCTGACGCCTGTCGCGACGGTGGCTGCGGTCGCGATGGGCCCACCTGCGGTGCTGCTGCCTCGGCAGCCGGCCGGCCACGACCCTGCAGCGTGTTCCACGCGATGCATCGGCCCGTCGACGATCGCCGTCCCTTGCGCGGGACGGCACTTCTTGGACAAAGGCATTGTGCGTCCAACCGGTACGAGAGTGCCCTACGCTCTCCTGGATCAGAGGATGGTTCAATATGGCAGCGCAGCGGGCGCCCCATGCGAGTGGTGACGTCCGGAATTCGCGCCACTTTTGATGCAACATGTGCGGACCACCTGATCGCCGTCGATGCTGCCCATTGGACACAACAAGCAGAGTCACCCAAGCATCTTACCGAGCCAAGTTTCCGAGCCTCTTTTCCTGTTGTTTGCACACAAGTCATCGAGACATGTCGGATGCAGCCCATGCACGCTGTGTTTTCGTTCAGGATCACGCGTCTCGAAAGTCCTCAGGAAGGCTCGCCCAAATGGCCTGGCACCCAGTGCAGCGCTCCCGCCTGCGGCGCAGGTACCAGTTATGCCAGTTGACTAAATGTTGTGATTCACGCAACTGCGGTCATTGTACATGTCGTATTGGCTGTCGAAGATCGTCGTTTTGCAGAAGAGAAGCATCCCCCTTGGCAATAAATGGCAATGGTTGCCAGCAGCGCGCGATTTGTGTAGTGCGCTCCCATTTGCAATGAAAGATTCCTATGACCTATTCGAACTGGCAGATTGACACACCTAAGTTATGCAGCAGCCTTTCCAGTTTTCCTAACTATCTGGATCAGCTGGGAAGCTGATGAAACATGGGCGGATACTGTAGGCACATGGTAGGGCCCAAGATCAATCCTCCATCTGACTGTTGTCATCCCTGCCTTTACTTTGGTCCAGCTATATGCATCCGCACAAGCGCAATTAGTTGCTGTGCATCCCTGCCCCAGCCCGTGTGCTCATAGACCTTGCAGTGAGGATTTGAAGCTAAGAGGCAGGTTCGATGCGTGTACTCCTTTTAGAACCCACGGCTTAAACACAGCTACCTGTGCATACTGCCCAAAACATGTGCCCTACCGCTGCTCCAGTGATATTTGGGAGCTGCCTACAATACCAGACTTACAATTGCAGTTTGATCAAAGAGTCAAAGTCAATACAGGAATGCACAAGAGCAATATGCCCTTGCGGACAAGCTGTCTCAGAAGCTCTTCAAAATCACATTGGGATGTACTGCACTTGTTTGTGCCGCGAGCTGTGCCTTGAACCATGGCATGATGTAATGCAAAAGCACCCTGGCAGCATTTTTTTGGCAGATTGTCCTGCATTTGCCAATTTGCACAGTTGGATGCTGCAGCTGCCACCTCCTCCTTGCTGTGCAATATCCATGGCTTGCTCTGTGGTGCAGGACATCTTTGTGGATTCGGCTGTATTGGGGTCCATAGGCAGTTCACTCTCAGACGCACTTTATGACATCGGGCAGCAGATGGACAGCCTTGTCAATCAGCAGCTTGCAGGTGAGTCCTGCGGCATACGAGACGTATGCAGCCCCAACGGGGGGCTATTGTTTGCCAACCCATATTCTAGTTGAGGCAACATTGATTGCTGTCCAGGAATGTGCCATATGCTGAGTTTGCTGCAAAAGATAGTTTGACTGTGATCCTGTGGTTATGAAATTTGTCTTGAGATGATCATTCAGAATGGTTATACTGGACCTGATTGTAACGAGCACGATGTGCAAAGCTATCATTCTTTGGGGCATTTGTGGTTTGCTAAGGTTGCCCCTGGTCAGCCAACTGTTTGGGTGAATATCGAGCACCTCAGTGGCAAGGTCACCAACTGCTCGCTCATTCATCCATCCTCAGAAATAGTCACTCAAGTTAATTTGTGCAGAAATCGAACATGATCTTTGTGAAATTTGAGTGTTGCACGGTTGATTGTGGTGTTTGCTACTCCTGAATGCTGCCAACAGTTTTGTATGTGGTTCCTGATGGGAATTATTCAAGCTCCTTGCATTTCATGAAGCGATGAGCACATGAAAATGCACCTGTGCGCTGGAGCTGGGAAGAGCCTCAGGCATTACCACCATGTAAATAATTGAACAAGGAACAAGAAGTCGATTTGTGGCGTTGGGTTCCTTGTGTTATCAATATTCAACTGTGAGAGTGCAAACAGCATTCACAGTACACTCTTCCACCGGTACCTCACCCGGCTGCCTTCTTCGCTGATGCAATGTGCAAGACCTTTTGAAACCCGTGCGGGAGGCATGGCACTAAGCCGAACGCTGGTGTGTTCCAGTTGTGGGCCCAGCCACCTTTGCTGTCGTCCTGCTTGCGGGCCTGTTGACAAGCCTCTCGCCGTGCACACTCAGTGTACTGCCCCTCACGATCGGCTACATTGGGGGCTACAGCAAGGGCAATGAAGGGGAAGGCTCCAGCCTTGTGGGGCGATCTGCTGCATTCTCAGCTGGCCTGGCAACCACCTTGGCTTTGCTAGGGGTTGTGTCCTCTGGAATCGGAAAGGCATACGGTCAGATAGGGAATGGACTGCCGATTGGTGAGCAGTGGCTGAAAGTGTTCAGTTGGCATCTGCACATGAAATTTGCTGTTGGATACAACTGGTGCCCACAACTGAGATGTGGAGCCCTAAACCTTGAAGCCTCGATTCAGTGGCTGACTTGTGCACGAGCATCGAACGTGAGCACAAAGTAGCCATGGGAGTGCTTGCTCCAAGTCAACTGTGTCCTTGAAACGATAGTTGATGTTCTGGGCTGGCAGTAGCACATCCAGCCAGCCACTGAGCAATCCTTTACTGATGCTTTGAGCACCGATGCATCGGCATAGAGAAGTTTATGCCTTGCCCCACTGAGCTGTTTGTATATCTGTGATATCAAAATGTTCCGCCCGGTGTCTGTGGTTTATTCCATTTGCATGACTGTCAACATGTAGATGTAGTTGTAGTTTAGGAGTTTCTTCAAAGTTTCAAGAAGTGCTCCAGAACCCTCAATGATAGAAATGTCCACAGTTACGTACCCCTGCACGCCCTCCTCTTCAGGTCCCAAAGCTTCAGTCGATTCCCCTTATCTCCTTGTAATGTTGTTGTTCCAAAAATAGCATTCAGGAAAGCATGGCTTGTTGAAGCCATGCTGGCTTGCAGATTACAAATTCAAGTGTAAAACTCAAGAAATGCACCCTCGATACATAGTTGGCACAGACTAGCACATGTGCTTGGAGTGCTTCCCAGTAGCTCCGCCGAAATGTAAAGTGCCGATAGGGCCCTGTGCGAAGCAGATAGCCTGTGCTGTGTTCAATGCTATTCAGTATCGGAATTCAGTGTGGCCGCTTTCCCAGATGAATGGTGAGCATGCATAACGATCAGCCGGTTGAGTAGCCCAGCTGGTACTTGGCAAATATTTGGACAACTAATTTGCAGGAAGTGCTAGATGTGTTCAGAGTTTGTGCACCATTTGCTGCATGGGTAATCATCAGAAATGCCCTGACACAATCCTTCAAACGTCTGGTTGCAGGTGTTGCCATTGTGGCCATCGCCATGGGGCTCAACCTGCTTGAAGTTGTGCCCATTCAGCTGCCATCGGTAGATGTGGACGTGAGGGAACTGGGCCTAGGACCAGAGGTGCAGGCATTTCTCGCTGGCCTCACATTCGCCCTTGCTGCATCGCCGTGCAGGTTTGTTGCCACACCTTGTGTTTCTCCAAATCATGGACGATGCGGAGCAGTGCTGCCGTTTTCGCTGGGCATTAGAGCATGCTGTCCACTGGTATGTTCTTGCATAGGTAACTGATTATTTCAGAAGACAGCAGAGGCAATATAGATTGCACATCCTCCCGAGCAGAACAATATGAGCCTCGTGTGCACATTGTACAAAGTGGCTTAGACAGTTGCGAGCCTGCAAGAAAGCACCAAATGGCGAAATCATCCAGGTGCAAGTGACATCTGTACAAGGTATCCGCAGGAGCAGATCGTCGCCCTTGTAGATTGAACAGATGCAGGCTTAAGTGCCTTCTGGGCAGTGAAGCTGCCAGAGAGCATTGAGTGCCCCAGGTACCCCAGCGCCTATGAGATACCTATGAGGAGGTGTGTGCATTGTATCCATGTAGCGTGCAGAAACCAAGAACTGAAAGGACCCTCCACCTACCACCCGATTTTTAGCTGTGATATCGGCATATTCATGGCCTGCATATCTGTGCACCATTTTATGCTTCATGAGGCACCGACCCTGACAGTCTTCTGTGAATGCTCACAGCACCCCTGTGCTCGTTACTTTGCTCGCCTACGTGTCATCCACACAAGACCCTTTGCTCGGTGGCGCTCTCCTCCTGTCCTACACTTTGGGATATGTAACTCCACTCTTGGTGGCAGCAACTGCAACGGTTGGTGTTGTCAGTTTCCTTTGCAGTGTTTTCTGTTTGCAAGTATATTTTCTATTCTATTGCCAAAAATGGACACGCAATTAGATTTGCAGCTCTTCACACATAATGGGTACATGCCCCCCCTTTGTCACTTCGATTGGGAAGCATCAGGATGCCATACAGGCTGTGATGATAGGGTTTGGCCACAAAGGGGCAGCTGCATGACTCCTATGGCCGTTGTAGTGACTATTTGCTGGCAACAGAGCAGTATCTTGAGGAGGTGGACAGTGTTCTTTGCAAGGAAACGGCTTATTAGTATGAGTGGATGGAAAGGGTCTTGCTCGTATTTGCAATGGAAGCTGGACTCGAACTCGACTGAACGCGAGCTTGAATGGAAACATGCAAGCACAATTGATGTTGGCCTTCACTTTCATGTCCTGACGAAGTATCTGGTGTGTAGGGAGCCCTCACCAAGATTCTGTCCTTGCGGAAATGGTCATCCTGGCTAACACCGGCGAGCGGCGTGCTGTTGGTATCTGGCGGAACGTATGCGTTGCTTTCGAGGGTGATCCCAGCATAGACATCTCAGCCAGCATAGCTGCACAATGTCGGAGGATGGTGGGTTGGTGCACTGCCAATGGATAACATTGCCAAAGCGCAAGACTGACGGGTGAAAGGAACAATTTTGGCTGTCTGTTGTTTCAGTGTCAAATTGTATGAACCATGGATTATGACATAATGCAAATTGGTTTGGATCGGAGCACTGCAGCGCTGCATGCTCTTGGGAGAAACTGTGCCATGCGCGTGTGTGCATGGTGGCTAACGTGCACGATAGGAGTGCAGGAGAGGCCCTCTGGCAGGCAAACTTTTTTCTGACTAATGTGTCCTCATCGGTCCAGTACTTGCACGAACAGCCAAAGAAATTTGACACGGAACTACCACAAAGCACTGCGAGACAGTCCCCAGGTGTTGGACGTGCAAAATTTGTGCGAACCCCAAACACAGCGCGGGAGAAGGGCAGTACCACATGTCCGATGTCAGCCAGCACACCTTCCCTTAGACGTGATCGTTGGCTGCACTACCCTGGATGCAACTCTCTCAATCAAATTCACTGTAAATGCTACAGAGCGCACCGCGCCATTTAACCCTGCCCAATATTAGGCGGACTCCGCTCGAAACTTCAACGTCCTGTTGTCTCAACAGTGTCTTTCCTCCTTGAGATTTTGCCCTTAGCCCTTTCTGACCAACTATGGGGTAATACCGGCTGGATCCATAACCACGGCCGCATTCAACAAGCACGATGACCCATCATCCCACACAACGTCCCCTCAAGGACTACACGCGAAATCTTACTTCCGCATCCTCCGGCCGAGAATTTAGAACTCCATATCCTTCCTGTTCAGCTGGTTGTGTAAGTTGTGGTATTGCTGAGGTACGTCTGGATCCGAATTTTTTGTTTCTTCATCCAGCTTGCTGAACATCGTTTTGAACTTCGTGAGGTGCTCCTTGGCAAGCCCGGCGTTGCCCCCGTTGTGCAGTGTAATCGCTGCTCACAACAGATGGTAGGTTGTGAAGTTGCCACAGGCACAATGTACCGCACATGCATGCTGCTGCTTCATTGCAAAGACACTGAGGCCGTACCGCAGTCGCTGGAAATGGTGTTGCGAGGGCTGATGTTTATTTGTGCCGTTGGTCTTGATGTTCATGTGACGCGCATGCTGGAGTCTTACATGAAGATGGTAATATGGCACTGCAAGATTACTGCTGATGCATTGGATGTTTTGAGGGTTGCGTCAATACCAGGCTCTTTCGCCAGTGCCCCCATCTGCAGGCAGTTGGTCAAATATTCGTTCGTTTCACTGATAGTCTCTGCCATTGGACCTCTAAGACGCGCTTTCCTTCTCTGAAGCTTCCCACCTACTCATCCAGATTGCGGACGCAATGGTCCTTACCATAGTTGAGGTGCAGCAGGTGGTCGTCTCCCATCTCAATCGCCCTTTCGTAGACATTGCAAGCGTTCTCCCAATCGTCGAGCTTCACAAGCGCGATGGCCATGTAGTGGTACGTCTGCGCGAACTTGGGATTGAGGTTCACGGCTGTGCTGAAGTAGTGAAACGCGCTCGCAAACTGACCCGTGCTCTGGTGGACAACGCCAAGGTTGTAGCTGATGATCCACTCGAATGGCCCCAGGTATAGGGCCCTCTTCAGGCATGCTATGGCGCACACGTACTTCTGCACATTGGAGGCACCCACGTCAGCGGTAATGGCAAATCAGGCGGAGAGTGCGTGGTTTGCTTCACCCTTGGGAAATCTCTCTCTGTACCAGAACAATGCGCGGCGGGTACGTCCACCTTCCTTTGCCGGAACAAGCGCCATCGTTTCCGCCTGTGAATGCGGCGCCCTCTGCGAAGGCAGCGGGTACCCTTGTGGTTTACCCACTAGAATGGCAAGATCCAGGCCTAAAGAGAAGGCGATGAAGATCAGAAGGCCAAATCAGAGTGTTATCTTCATCAGCTGTTCCATGCCTCGCCCCGTGCTACCCGGCACCCAAACGCAAACTTTCTGAGCCAATTCAGATATCCGGCGCCGCGTGCGGGATGCATTTAACACTTTCCTGGACGAATACCATGGTCCCTCTTCCGCTGCATCCATGACAAAGTCGCCCGCACCTGCTTTCCGAAGAAGCACATGCCGATGTTGTTCCAGAGGTGCGCAGAATCAGGGGCCTGCGTCGCGGCTATGCGATACTTCATGAGCGCGGCATCCATGTCACCCTGCTCCTGTACTATGCTGGCGGCCGCCAAGATGGTCCGAGGGTTCCTGGGGTCGTAGCTCAGAGACCGGCCAAGGCTGTTGAACGCGCTGTGCTGATCCCCAGTCCTAACGGTCGAAACAGAAACGGGAGCATTGATGTTTCCATTGGGGTTCAGCACCCGTCCATTGCAGGACACCCACGGGCATTTGATCTCTTCGCATTTTTATGTGATTGGGCTTTGCTGCAACCGCCACAATGCGTCTGGGTGCACAGTTGCTCACCAATCCCCATGCACCAGCTGCTGCTGAATACGCTGGAGTGAGTGGAGACGAGTGACTGGTTGACACATGTTTCGGTTCCTCCTCATGCACTCCGCATCGGTTTTTGCTGTCAATTCAGTCGACGATCCTCAGGAAAGTCCAACGTTTGGGTCAATTTCACTTCACAGAAGTCGTAGTTCACAGAGATGGGCGTTTGAGATTCTCACCTCAGATGCAGGAGGCCGTTGGTGGATAGGAATTCCGGACTCTCGGGGCTCTCTTGCAGTGCCTCTTCATTGATCCGAATCGCATCTCTGTACTCTTCTCTCAGAACATGCACCTTGCTCAGCATCGCGTATGTCGATTCGTGAGTTTGGACATTGTTTGCGCGTTGAAAGCAGTCGATTGCCCTGAAATCGTCAAAGAACACTGATGATTTCAGATGTTGCTACTGTGGATACGCCGAAGGTTTGATGCTCGTGTGAATAAATGCACAAGGATAGGAGCAAGGCATTGTGGGGCAATGCGGACACCAGCGGTGATTCAAAACCATCTGCGAACTTACTATCTCAATTATATCTGTGCCACAGCGACGTCTTCTCACTTCTAAATGGAAGCTGCACAGCAGCCGTGGAGTATTCAATTGAGCATCCTTGTCTTGGCGGGAAGTGGGATGAAATGGACAACAAATTGCACTTACTCGTCATGTTGCTCTTGCTGCATGTGGCACAGTCCCTTGTTGTGCAGAATCTCCCAGTCGTCCTGCGATAGCCGCTGAGCCTCGTTGTACACATCGAGGGCCGCCTTGGATTTGCCCAGCAGGTGCAACGAGCGGCCGACCTGTGCATCATGCGCACTGGTTGCCATTCTGTACACTCACCGCTAACCGTTCGAGACCGTATTTGCAGTGTTGTTCGTTGGCAACTTCCATGACGACAGACAATGCACAAACAGGAAACTGCAACCAAAGAACGAAAAGCTGAACCTCTTCTCTGCACCTGTTTGCTCCCCACAGAAGTGCGAACGTTTTCGCCCTGCAACTTAGGAGGCCATGTGGATAAAGAGAGGGTGCCCCATAGTGGCCTTTTCCAGTTTATTTGTCACCTGCTTGAGATTGGTCATGTTGTGCGGGTTGGAAGCAACGGCCTTCTGGAATATCTGCAAAGACTCGTGCACTTTGCCTGTGAGTGAAATTCGGTCCCGTCAGAACTTTGGCCTGCTCTGATGACATGGGACTGCAGGTCTTGATTCGAACAAAAAAAGACCCCAGATTTGCTTTTGACTTGTGCTTTTGCGGCCATTCTTGCATTTATGATATTCACACGTAGTCTTGCACATGGACCCTGACCCCCACATCCACGCGCACTTTTCCGTTATGCAAACGCGAAAATGTTACGTTGACGCACTGTCACAATTTCCTTTTACCGAACCTTGAAGCACCCCCCACCGCATTCACTTCGCCTCACCAAGGTGGACGGCATCGCCGCACACCAGGTTGTCTGCTGCCCACCCTAGCGCGTCAATTTGCCATTCCCCTCAAGGATCCCCTCTTCCGCCGACTTCGCCCCATTTTCGTGTTGTACATGTGTGCTGCAAACCTTTCAAGTTGCTTTCAACGAGACCAAGCGGTGCCCCTGCCCTTTGTGAGCGATAACAGGCATGTCCACATCCAAGGACATTTCGCAGAAGAGTTGTGAAGTTGCAGGGGCGGGGCCCTTGGCGCGGGCGGGAAATTTGTGGTCCCTGCCAGTGCTGTAGGCGTCGCCAACGGCCCCCCCCCACCCCCACCCAACCTATGCCCATCCCCACCGCCCCTCTCTGTGGCGTCGCAGGGGTGCTGCGACGGCCGACTGCAGCTTCGACAGAAGTTGGGGTGTGTCTCCCATTCTCTGACTCTCCCATGGTTTTTAGCCGTTTCGATGGCATGTGGCGAGAGTTTTTTTCTCATTCTCGGTTGGTGGCATTGGGTTGATCTGGGAGCAGGTAGCACTGAGGAAAATGACCAATGGGAAATGGCGGGAAGGGAGGCGGCGTATGCTTCTATGGTGCCGGGACAACTGCAGTCAAGGAATTCACTGATGGGCTTGATTCTCATGATTGTGTACACAGGGTTCGTTGTGTACATAGGTTCGTTTGCTGTAAAAGCATAAAACCCGTACTTGCACGAGACTGCGCGCACCGCAGAACCTATTGTGCCTAAGTAACACGTGTTATCACAGGTCCATTGCTTGAAGCACATGCGCTCAACAGACTGGTAGACATGTTGCCACCACAAAATGGATGGACTTCTATTGAAGCTGTTCCCTTGTCCAAGGAGTATGGCCTCGTCTTGCCCCACAACACATAATTGAAGAACAGAAAAGACGGTTATGCCTACGCGCATGTCTGTGTTCTTGTGGCTCTATATACTACAAATGGCAGTTTTGCTGGAATTGACTGCAGCTGGCCCAGGTCTGGGTGGTCTATTTGCGGTTGGCGACGCCCATTCACATGCCTTGTTGCCTTTTTATGAGGCCCTGCACGTATGTGGCATATTCTGAGTCTCCATCCTTCTCTAGTTCTTGGGATATGAGCTCCAGGCATTCGTCGTATTCCTGCAGCAGGCACAATGATACCCACGCTGACTCAAAACAGCAGACCTGCAACAATACAAGGACTCCACCCCGACGGCAAGTTTGCACCGAAGACAAGCACCTGTCGATGGTGCACTGATTGCTGCCTTGGCATACTGGCCAGGCGTATGCCAAATGCATTCATGTTGCTTCAGCATTGTGCATTTCCTTGGCTGCTTGAGAAGTTCCGTCCCTGACCGACCCCAGAGCTTCGCTGAAATGCCCACTCCAAGTCTGCTGTCAGTCGTTGAGAACTTCGTAATGGTCGCCTGGGCGGGGAGTGGCAATGCCATCTCTCCTCTTTGGATTCTACATATCCGTTCTTCATGGCTCAAAGTTGAACCCTTTGTCAAGCATGCCTGCCCACGTGGGAGCCTTTTGTGTGGTTTGACAGATGCCAGCTCATTTCCCCAATGCCTCCCTTTGGAGGTCCCACCTGCCGCACGAGCAGCTGATATATCCGGTGGTTGTTCTTGGTCATGTTTGCGCGCAACCTGACGCAGGCCTCAACCCAACAGCGCTCGATCAAGCTGACCCACGCCGCTTGTCTGTGCTGCAGCTGAAACTTCCCTCTGAGGGGATTAGCTGTCAACCAATCGTATCCAGCCAGGTGGCGAGTACAAGTCGCATAGGCAATTGTTGCGCATTGGGCAATAAATGAACGCCATGATTTTCCTCCAAAAGCCGGCGTCCCCTCAACGGCTCCCCTCCCAGTTGATGCACTACGAATTCATTGGTGCGATGCATTGGGTTCGGTGGACAAATCATGGACGCTGCTTTAGTAGGGCAGGATGGGAGCCGACAGCCACCGGCTTGCCTCGATGTGAAAAACTGGCACGCGCCATCGTATGTGACAGGCGGCTGGTGCAATGCCTGGTAAAGTAGCGATGGAAGGGCAAGCTGCACACACCATTGGTGGCATTGTCGGCGGGCACGGGTGGGCTCCCAAGCTTGGGCGACGCCCACCTCAGGATAAGCGATTCAACGACACCGTCACGCTGCTGATTCAGCGCTTGCGTCTGGCGGGCCACTGCCTGGAAATTGACGCACTGCTGTTTGGCTGGTGAGTAGGTTCAAGGCCAGACGTCACATGGCCGCAAGTCGCTTGCTTGCTGGCTTTGGACTCGTCCTTTTGGAAAACCGTTTGTTACACGTCTTGATCAAAAGCAGTGGCTTGATGATTGCAGGGCGATGCTTGGACCCGCCATTCATACATTTGTTGTGCACACACAGGGAGTGGATGAGCACGGAGGAGTCAACTGCCGTGGCGTGTCATGGTCCGGTATCCCAATTCGCCCCCATGCAGCCCTTCGCCTGTCAGAGCATCTCTAGGCCTCGCTGGTCTCACAGAGGAGCCAACGCTCATGACAATTCACAAGCCCTGCATCTGACAAAAGGACAGCCCTCGGCGCCGCCAAGATCAAGCTCTCGAAGGTTGGGCCACACGCACCGAAGGGCAGCACTTGTGCACCACAAGACAGGAAAGCCATCGCAGAAGCTGCGGCCCAGCCCACTGCCGGGCAACAGCTCTCAACCTCCAGAACGAACAAGAATTCGTACGTTGCCTCTCTACCAAACAGTGCTCCCATCCATTTAACTATTCACCAAACTGAAAAAAGAACTTCTTGCACAGACATCCATGAAATGCAGAACACTCCCACAAACTGAGAGAAACGTGTCACTGACGCAGCCATCATTAAGTACGTGAAAAATTGCTTGTACTACTCTCCAGCAGTATGCCTCAAAAGAATTCAATATCCCAATTGCAGCGCATCCATTGTGCAAGAAATGCATTGTGTGCGCCGTCAACAACCCAGAGTAAGACATTCTGTTGTGCTTCCACAAAGACATCGGCAACAGTCATGCTCAGCATTGGAACAGTGAGGCCGTTGACAGCTCCTGGGGCAAGTATATTGCAGTCTGGCATTCCACATGTCGGGCCTCTTAACAGCAGCTTGCACCAGTGGCAGATGCGGATGGCGCTGGGTCAAAGGAAGTGGCAATGCGCCCACCGCCAAACACTCCATAGTGAACAGATCGTTCGCCAATGACCTGCACAACCACATTCCAGAATATCAAACCATGGTGTCATCATCGCCAAATACAGTGATTTCTGTTAGAATCGGCACCGCTGTGGCGATTCACCAGTGCGAGATGCTGATGAGGCGTACAGCCCACCATCTTATGCCAAGTCGAGGCAGTTCTCTGCGACAAAGAACTCTGCAGGACGACAGAATATACTGCGAAAGCAGTGATACGCCCCAGACAGCAAACAATGCACCACAACTGAGCCGATCTGCACCATTTCAGAAGCCAAACTCGACAAACTGCATGAAGACTCGATGCCAGGTAGTATACAATGCAAGTTGCATGTAGGAGAGCAGAGTACACAGTGCACAGGGAACCCGAGTCGTCCTGCAAATGTTGTGCATGGAAGGCTTCAGACTGCTGGCAACAATTGTGTGCAGCTCCAGAACAACTTGCCTGGAAATGAGGAGACAGCCAGCTGATCCCATCCTCGCCAACCATGGCAGCAACGTTGCCGCTCACCGCCATCGGCTTTCCAGTTTCAAAGCGGTACCTGTCGTCCAACTTGTATGCATGTTCGTGGCCTTCGATGGTGCCCTGTATGGCCAAGCAAGGAATTACTCGCATGGTTGTGATGCTGTCCAATGCACACTCTGGGCAAGAACAAACTCTTGGCAAGGCACGCTACACACAACATTTTGGAGATTGTGCGGTCTGGACAGTTGGAATCACGTCAACATGTGTGTTGCACATGAGCAGAAGACAACTATCTATCCCATCCTCAAAATTCCACTGTAAGAACATGCTCAAATGGCGCAACTTGTTGTGTATGCAACTCGTCATCTCTTTGCTTTTCATTTTGTGCCTGAAAAGGTGGTGACTTCTGTATTGTCTTTCACATCCTGGAAGGAACATCACACCACATACTCCTTGTGGAGGATAGTGCGCCTGGTCTGACATATTTCCTTTCTGCCTAAATGACGATCCTTGCGCTCTGTTCAGAACTTCAACAGTCGAGCAATTCATTGGCAATGCAAGTCACCTTGTAGACTGCGATCTGGCCATAATCCTCTTCTGTGGTCTCAATCTTGTTGGGGATTTTGAACAGTCTGCAAAAGATACAAGCAATCCCCTGATGCTCATCAGACAACGGTATGCATCAAAAAGCAGGGTCCCCTTGACATTGTACAGCATGCGCACAAACCTTGAGCCAGCAGAGGAGGCATGTACCCAACAGCTCATGCAGCACGTGACTTCATACTATACATGACAGTAACACTGCACATCATCTGGATGGTGTGCTACAGACAAGCGTCAGCTGTCACTACATCAAGTGACACCAGAACCATCATTCACTGGAACAGCAGGCAAAGGGCAAACTTTAGTCCTGCTTTGAGGATTATTGACACTGGCAAGCCCAATGTAGTGCTGCTAAGGGATATCACTATATATTATATGTTGAATTGGACTCAGGCTCCACCTCATTCCGAATCTGTGCTGTTCAAAAAACTGTTAAATGTAACTTGTCAGCTCCATTTCCAAATGCTTCCTTGCACTATTTCCAACCAACATATCAGGCACAAAGCTGTCTCAAATTGCTCGATGTGCTTCCTGCTCTTAACTCTCAAACTTGGTGCAACCGCATAATTCATATGCCCCATCTTTGGTGTAGTATGAGCCCATCGACAAAAAACTTCCCACCGGCACAGTACTTGGCACACTCGCACAAACCTGTAGGTAATTGAGTAGAACTTTGCTTCCCCAACAAGGTTCTCTAGTTCAGCATTCTGAACTGTTATCCTTGACGTTGAGAGCACCCTTGGATCGCCAAACCCCGTTTCCCTGGCCATCCTCTCAAAATCCTTGTAATAAAGTGCACCAGCAAGGCACTCGCCCCAAAGAATCTGCACATCACAGTAGCAGTCGCATCACAATCGCCGCGGAATGCAGAACAGAAGGCACACCAGCAGCAATTCTCCCAGAATTGCAAACAGTTCGCTAGGTTCTGTTCGCATTCGGGAAGCACTGTTCTAAACTGCATACCGTGTTCGTCCTTTGTTCGCCTGGGCATGTGGTGCCCTGTATTGACAGATCTTAACAGACTCTCGGCAGTTCTGTCCAGACAGGCTAGCAGCACCACATTGCCCACAATACAAAGGGGAATCCCATGCAGCTGAAGCCTGCAGGTCTGGAGTGTCGGCCCCAGGCCCAATACCAAGACATCTTTTGGAGAGCGTTCTGGCTCCCTTAGAGTGAAGCGGCCATCGCCGCCATCCTCCAACAGGACACAACGCACAACAGTGCTGATCGAGCAGCCCGCCCTGCACCATTCCCCGCCAGCCGTGCGGCCTACGCAACCCGCCATCGGCCAAACATGCCGGCCAGCCTCGCGAGCCCCGGCCTCACACCTTGTCTTTCCGCACGCCCTCCGGCAGCCTCCTGTCGCAGTACACGTCGCTGAAGTAGAATTCGCCGCCGGGCGCCAGCGCCCGGTACACCTCCCGCAGGACGCGAGGCTTGTCCGGCGACAGGTTCACGACGCAGTTGCTGATCACCACGTCCACGGACTCGCCCTCCACGCCCGCATCCTCCAAGAACTCGATGTGGCCCTTCACGAACTTCATGTTCGGCGCCGAGTACCCCAGGGCGCCGGTGTAGGCCTCCAGGTGGCTGCGCGCCACACCCAGCTGCTCGTCCGTCATGTCGATCCCCGTCACGTGGCCAGACTCCCCGACCAGAGCGGCGGCCACGTAGCAATCGCGGCCCGAGCCCGACCCGAGATCCAGCACGCGCTTGCCCTCGATCCCCAGCGGCAGCGGCGCGCCGCAGCCGTAGAATTTGGCCAGAATCTCCGCCGGCACCTCGCTCATCAACTTGGCCAGGCGGGGGTGCGGGCGCCCCGCGGCGCAGCAGGCGTTGGTCTTCAGGTCCTTAGAGGACGACAAGATCTTGCCGTAGTACTCCTCCACAAACTCGTGGGGGTCCTTCTTAGGGCCGCAGCAGCCCTTGGCCTTGGGGCCGCAGCATTTGGACATGTCGGTATTGGCAGCGCCCAAGGCAGAGCGTGTGGCCACTGCCCTCCCTCCCGCGTGCCTGGAGCAATTTCGGGGCACCTGAAAGGCGCCCGCAGCTAGTTGGAGGTGCAACCGCGCCGTTGTGGCCGTTGTTCGGGTAGGACGAGCGCGACAAGGGGAACTGCAGCTGGTGCCTGGTTAAGGAACGACCTGCCCGTTTGAGGTACAAGTACCAGGTAGTGACGTTCCTGTGAATCGCGCGTCGGGCGGGGGGTGGCTGGCCCCGAACGACCACACGGCTGACACCAACAGGCCGCGGGCGCCCGGCCGCTCCGTTCCAGTTGTGGGCCTGTTGGCCCCGCATCATTCTGGTGAAAGAAATGCATCAACGGAGGATTGTGCCAGGCGTCCTCCTTGTTGGGGGGAGGAATCAAGTAGGAAACAAACTGGAAAGGGCATCGCGCAACGCACGTGGCCCCAGCTGCCTTCGCCACGCGCAGGGCGCGTCCGTCCTCTTGTGCAAGGTAACAGGTTGCTCCATGCTGACAACAAGTTCTATGCTGCTGTGCTTGACGGGATCCTCTCCCCGCGAGGATTGTCCGATACCTATCATTACCGGATATAAAACCCTAAACTCCAAAGCACCCTAAAACCAAAACTGACTTCCGTGGGCTTTATGGCATTCATGAATTCATTAATTATTGATGTCATGGCCTTCATCACCTTCACGACCTTCATGATTTCATGTCCGGGAATGAAGGGTATCGGACATTTGTGCTCCACGCCTGACGCGCACACTGGCAAAATTAAGGAAAACGCATTCTCATTGATGTCCTTCTGTACAGTGACCAAGACCATCAATTCTGCCCTGAGTTTCCGGAGACACAATACTTAAGACAGAAGAAATGAGAGGATGGAGAAATACAAGTGAGGCGCCCCCCTGTGGGCACTCCGTAAATAGGGAGGCTGCCCGTCGACCCGGAGAGCTGCAAAGGTGCCAATCGCAATGCAAGTCTTGGTTCACTTTGAGCTCAGGCCTGGTGTGTGCATATGCCTTGGGCCCACGCCAAAGCAAAACTGTGAAGCAACGGTGCGAAGAGTGTAGCTGCCGGAAACGGCTTTGGCCACCAATACTGCCCAGGATGGTTGGCATACCTTAAACGATAACCTGCGACTCCTTAATAAGGAATTCTTTAGCTGCTGCTGATCCATTTTCAGTAAAGCCTCTCAACGCATAAGCGAACTAAAAAAACGGGTCAATTGATTTATTAGGGCTCCAAAACAAAGAGAAATAGTGAACTAATGCTTTCGAAACCACGCTTGTTATTCATCCCAAATTTTGGGGCCCAAAAAGAACCAATCGTATTTACGTGTTGCATGTAAAAAGGCGCGAAAAAACGAACTTCCTCTATCCCAAATCAAATGAAACAATCTGTTCGCATGGCGGAATTTTCATCATCCTCTCGTCGAATTTGCTTGAAATTTTGACCAGAGCACCACAACTCACGTTGGTACACGCTAACAAATTTTTGTGAACAACGGATAAATATTGGTCAAATGGTTGTACTTTGAACCCACAGGATTTTGCCCCAAAACCCAATTTCTTCAGGCTGGCGGCCCGTCCCCCCAAAATGGCCCCTCGACCAGGTCGCTTTGCGGCTGTCGGTGTGCAGCGCGGAGTTGATATCTGCGGCCGCCGCTGTGGCTGCAGGTCGGAGGCGTTTGCCTCGAAGCGCAGAGGCTGCGGAACCGAGTTCCATACCGTTCGATCGTCGATCGCGACCGTGGATTTGACAGCCCGTTCAGCATTTCATTGGGACAGAAAAAGTATATACAATGTTAATACAGCCTGGAGCGCATAAAGACAGTACATACAGACTTAGGGAGTCCGGGGATTGGCAGCCGGACACGCTGGAATGGGCATAAAACGAGCTTTTGCTCCATGCCGTCGTTGCCCTTGCCGAAGGCGAGGTGAACGTTGTGTTGTAGGCGCTCATGGGTGTGGATGACTGATCATTCTACGCGACTTCCATCGTGTAATATGGGTGTCGCAACGAGCCGTGGAAACATAACCAAAGCGCCAAAATAGCCTCTTCTGCAAATTTGCGCTTTTATGCTTAAGAACGTCAACGCAAAAATGTAAACGTAAACGTAAATAACAAGCCTGATTGAAACTCTATCAGTGGATCACACTGGATGAGGATTCTTGAAAGTCCTTAAATAGGTTAGGGAGGTCTAGAAACCATGATGGCTCTTAGACCTGGCGACCCCAAAAGCATAATGTTCATGAAAAATGACGACAATTTTTCATTTACATTATTCTGTAGGATCTGTCAGATTATCTGAATATGAATGCATCTAGAATTGGTAGCCCGTGGTAGCAAGTGGCAATGAAACAAAGCAACCAGACATCCAAAGCGTTTTGAGAAGAACAGAAAGATTTACACGATCATTCAGTTTTGCACCGCGCTGCTCGTTCCTTTGGTACTACAGACAAATCGACAATACGTATCAGCGCACATTGGGTAGCGTCGCTCATGCACTGAATATTCGTGCTGAATGCATATAGTACTAGGGCTGCGTCAGCACCGTGCCTAGAAGAACACGCATCATGCGTTTGGGATCCATTGCCCATGCGCCTGGACCCCTTTCAACGTATAATGTTGGCCCTAGAGCCGCGCGCAATCGGTTCGCCCACAAGAATGCTCATGGACGGAGTCACTAGTAAGAAATCGCTCATTTTACACAGTGCGAGATCGTGTGCAATCGATTGAAAATCGTGTACTTCGGAACCATATATTACACGGCTGCTGGTTGCTACACGTTTGAAATCGTGTACAGTGGTATTCATTGTGCTGTTAATGGTGGTAAGGTGGGCCGCTTTCGTGTATTCTCATTGGGTCGAAAACTTCATGATTTTAGCAATTGTGTAGTTCGTGATCGTATACTTTTTGGCGATCGTGTAGTTTTGGTGATCGTGTACTTTTGGCCATCGTGTACTAAAACGGTTTGGATAAAATGGGTCGATAGCTGGGGCCACGTCAAGGATGGCTTTTGATCCCCTTCAGGTTGATCGCGTGTGCGCAACAAACAAGAAATAATGAACGGGGAAACATAGGCGACCATGTGAGAATTGTCATTGAGAACTAGACGGCGGTTCAATCTGTGGGCAGAAATTGAACCTGCATGTGAGCTATGGACGATGATCTATCATGCGCTGTGCGTAAATAGAAACGACACTTGATGTCTGATTTGCGCATGTCTGTCCTAAGCGCAGCGCCTAGATTGGACGCCGCCAATGGCCGGGCACAGCCAAGGCTTTGCTTTTGCTGTATTAATTGGGCTGCTTGACACGCGGAGACGAATAGGTGCATTGAATCCAATGCACTGAAATACAGCCTGCAGCTGTAGCCAACAAGGAACCCGGTGCTTTGGAATGGTGGTGTATACCAGGGTGTACTTAGACTCTTGTGGAAATGTTTGTTCGTTCTTAGATTCATCTGAAATGCACTAAATGTCTGATTATGGTGTGTTTGACCATGAAATTTGCGCGTTGCGGCGAAAGTGCTCTGGGGCCAGTTGTGGGGCGGTTCCACTGCATGAATAGCAACTTTGTTTACCTTGCATCAGTCGTGGGTCTCTGGGTTGATGCACCTCAAGCGAAATGGATCAATTCAATGGAATTCAATATCTAATCATTGACAAATTTGTGATGGTCTCCGAGGGCCGGCAACAGCAGATAAGAGCGAAATTCGAGCCGGCTATGGTGTCAAAAATTGATGTTAATTCCTGGCCATGGTGTCAAGAATTTGTGTTAATTCTTGACACCACCCATTCATGGCGCCACAATTTATTAATGTCCCGGACTGTAGTTGCAAAATCACTGCAAGAACTGATGAAAATTATGAGATGGAATTCGCAAATTGAACAATCTAGTTCAAGAAGAGCAATGGACCCGTTGGATGCAGAAGGGGACGCGAGATGTGAATGGCCATTCTCATCTCGCGTTCACAAATGGTCATTCACATCTCACCAGGATGAGATGTAATCCGAACTTCCCCTTGACGGGATCCTCTCCCCACCCGACTGGCCAAGTGAATTGAAAGCATACACATGATTGTTCCGCCCATAAATCCCCGTGACCTCGATTATCAATTGCGTTCTTGTCTCTGCGAAGTAAACTAAACCACTGAATTACAGTACTTCCCAAGTGTAAATCCGGGTGTGTTGATTGCCGTGTATTCCACATAATCCGAGCTCAATGTCCAATCGATTGACAGGTGGCAGCAAGCCAACAAGGTAGTTGGAGCACTTTGTGTACCAATTCAGTGGGGAGGCTGCCCGGAGATCGGTGAAGGAGGAAGGCCCGCCAAGGTACCATTGGAAAGAAAAAGAAAACAATACCTTGGCTGTAGTCGAAGCTCATGCCCGAAGTCCACACAACCCTTGGCTCAATGGGTCAAAAATGCACATGAGAGCGGCTTCCAGAAATAGACTGCGCTGCCAATATCACCTCGAGTACCCGGCGCATCTCATGCCCCCACCCACGGCTCCGTGATCGGAAACTCATGTACTAACCATTAATCACATTGTCATCGACATTTCGCGAAGCACTATATCGTTTGTTCGGTGCTGCAGCAACCTGTGGCCTGGCCGCGATTCAGAGTATTTGATCACAGGGGAAATTCTAAAGGTGCAAGGGCACCTTGTGCGCGACAAGATTGTTTTAAGCACTACAATCGTACTTGCAAAAGTAGCCATCGTCCGGGCGAAGTGGTATTGCTCGTGGGTTGCAACCGCCATTCACATGCTTGCTGGTGTAGAGCTACACGCAGGAAGATTGGATTCGCCACGCCGTCCCTACACACTGACACATTACCTGGTAGCCAACCGCCACGCGACGGGCACGCGCCGGGCGCACGTGCTCGCGCCCAGCGCACTGCCTGGCTGATGGTCGCACACATGGTAACCGCATTACCCTTGCCATGCCCAATCCCATCGTCGGAGGGGGTGATCCCCACGATTTGCCAAACGTTGGCGCCGGAAACGATGACAAGCGCGCGAGATGCGGATGAATCGTGGACGTATGTACGATGGCCACGCTCCACATGAACAGGATCCACATCGATCTGGCGACGTGAGTTCATGCGACGGCCGCTCGGGCAACAAATCGGCCAACGAGGTCGGCCGCTGCGCCTGTTCGCCCGGGAGCCGGGCGGTTGGTGGCGCCCTTGCAAGCGGCGTAGCTAGCGCCCCTGGCCTGCGGCCCAGCGCAGCTCCGCACCACCGCCATCCGCCACCCGCCAGGAGCAGCCATGTTCTCCGCCTTTCACGATTTCGAGTACAGGCCCGGCAGCCTGCAGCGGTGGATCCAGGCCGCCGGCGCGCCGGACCTGAAGCTGCCCGATGTGGCGCGCAAGGCCATGCCCTTCATGCTAGCATGCACGGTGCTGGAGTTCTTCGTGTCCCTGCTGCTGCACAAGAAAGTCTACTACCGGCGGCAGACGTGGAGCAACATCGCCGGGGGGGCCATAGGGTTCGTTCTGTCGGGTGAGCCCCGTGGCAGTACGCGTGCATCGCGTGGCCCGGCGCGCGTTGGCGCCGACGCAATTCATGCCGGCCTGAAAACGCCGCGACGGCAGCCGCAAGAATTGTGGGATGGAGTCCGTGGCGGTGGCGCGACGCGCATCGAGGGCACAGGGAGACAGCCTGCATGAACGCTGTGCATGGGAGGCTGTGTGTTAATCAAGGGACGGCGCCCCGTTGTGAGGGGCCGCATGGGCCTGTGGGAATGACCGCTTTTTGGGTGCGACTGTGACTGCTGGCCGGTGGGCGCGTTGGCCTGAAATTGCCACAACGGGCTTGCGGATGCCAAACATCGCTCAGGCGGGGTTGAAGGCGGGCGGTGGATGAGGGCTTGGCCCTGGCGCGAGTGTGCCTGCGTTCAGCTGCGGACGTCATCCACGGGCATGTGGCCAATGAACCGGCGCTCCATGGTCCTCCTCAGCCTTTCCCGGGCGGGCCAGTGTCAGCATCCAAAACGCCGCAAACCAAGGGGCGTTCCTCGTTTGTTGGAAAGGCACCGGATTAGGTAGCGCGGACAGATGGCAAAGCCCCCAGATTCGCCATTTGCCGTTTGTACGTTCTCAGATCGGCTCTCCAAGAGGCATCAAACTCTCAAGCGCGTCAAGCCCCCCAGCCATTGTCGCTTCCGATCCGGTACGCTCACTGTCGCCTTTGCCCCTGCAGGGCTGTTCCTTCGCGGCTTGAATGTCTTCCCGTACCTGGTCATATACCGCTTCATTGGTCTGAAGCTGGTCGGCCCAGTCACTTCCAACAACATCTGGGTGAACATCGCCGCCTTCCTGGGGTTTGATTTCACGCACTACTGGGCCCACAGGGCCGGGCATGTGATGAACATTGGATGGTGAGTCCCTGCGAGCAAGGTCCCCGTCGCGCTTCACATGAATCGAGCTTGCAACTAGGCATTGAGGCAGACTGCCTGGTAAATTCTTATTCGGAACATAATCGGAGCATCAGGTGGTGTGCGCTGGTTGGATCTTAGGCTGGGGTGGGAAAACAAAGGTGGCATTTTGGACACACGCGGTGCGCTGCCCAAGTCGAGGTTGCTTTCCAAAACGAAAAGTACATCATTGTGCGCTTACATTGTCGTACATTCGGTCTTGCTGAGGTCCTGTTTGGCTCGCTTGCGTTCGACACATGAGTCGCTCGAAAACGCACAGGCACGGACATGTGCATCTGCGTGCATGGATGTGCTGGTCAAGAATATGCATCCATAAGGACTCATATAAATTTGTCTTAGAAGTAGACAGGAAGGCAGACCTGTCAGGCCTATGGAGATCCATGAATGATGGTATTGCACAATACACCATGTGTGGTACAATTGGGTCAAACCAGCCCTTTTCGTCAGAGCGGCGCCATAATGGGCGCATTTCAATTATTTGTAGTGGGATATGAAGATTGGTAAACAATGCACAACACCAATTTCTGGGATCCTAGATCCATGTGCAGTGCAGTGCGCACACTGTCCAGCGACCCCCAAAAGGCTGAACATGGATGAGTTCACCACAAAGAACCTCTCTGAACGAATTCCTTGTGTCAGAATGATGGCATTTTGCAGCTGTCTCGCCAGGCACTATTCGACTTGGATCATGTGCCAGAGGTCTTGTTTGCTAGCCTGAAGATCGATCTATCCGAGTTACAGGCCACATTGTCTGTCTGGGCATAGTGCATGGTAAATTCGGGCAAAATTGCCAAGATGGCGGAGTGGACACTGTCGGTTTCCACAATTTGTGCCTCTACTCAATTTGCAAGTAGAGGGGCCTGTGATCAGTGCTTCATGACTCGTAACGTATCTTCTGTTGCTATCTCAGGGCCGGGCACGGTGTGCACCACAATTCTCCAGACTTGAACTTCACCACTGCGTTCCGACAGGGCATCACGGAGCCATTCGTAAGTTTCCATCACAGGCTTTGGGTGTGGTTCAATGTGCACTTCTGAATACGCGCACTCCACAGCTCCAGTTGTAGGCATTGCCTAGGCTGCAGTCTTGATGACCCAGTGAGCAACCAGTCAGAACAGTGAAAGTGTCCGTTCGAAATAATCCCAGACAGTGTTCGTGGCACTCCAATGATGGCACTGAACAGAACGCAGGTGCACGCCCCGCCAGTCTTTACCCTTGTGTGCATATGTGCTGTGGCAGCAGACAGCAACATATGTGTTCCGACGGCAAAACTACACCTGGTTTTGCGGAACCGCTGTGGTGGCTTGGCAACAAATCGGCCCTGGTACACATTACACGCTACCTGAGGGCTCTGATCCTTGCAGACGCCAATCTCAAGATGTTTGCTTTCCTACTTGAAAATTCCAAGTCCAGCAAGGAAATTTCCTTGCCGTGCTCAAGCGCTTGCGTCCCTCGCATTAGATGATATGTTGGGAAATCTGGTCCTGTGTTATTGGCAGTACACAGAGCCCCAGTACACAGACTCACTTTGTTTGCATTTTTCTCTCAGACACGCAATGCCACGCGTCATGTGGGTCGACGGGTGATGCGTATTCTTGACAACAATTTGATATACAGGGTGATAGTCGTCTTCATCAGCAGTCGAAATTGCCAATGGCAATTGGCAGTCATTATCGCGCTGATGACTGATATCTTGTCGCCTTGGTGTTGTCATCGCAGATTGCATGTTGGTTCTACCTCCCGGTGGCGCTCGTCTCTCCCCCTGATGTCTTCTTTTGGCACAGGAGTGTCAACCTGGTGTTCCAGTTCTTCCTGCACACACAGGTCATTGGCAAGCTGGGGCCCCTGGAGTGGATCTTTAACACCCCCTCGCACCACCGTGTGCACCATGCCAGAAACTACGGCAGAGTCAACTATGCAGGTAGGATGCAATGGAGCAATTTGGAACCCGCCAGGCCCATTGCAGCGCTTCTTTGGAAGCAATTATGTTTATTTCGTGGTACATACGAGCACGAAGTATGAACATCACAAGATCGATGCTTTCTTACAGAAATTATGATGATTTGCATGTGCAGTGTCTGCGCATGAGTGCATGCAATGGGGAATGAAATAGATGCCATGAATTGTGGAATGTTGTGCAGTATAGTAGTCTGGATATGCACAATGTGGGAGTCGAGCTGCAGGGGTTTCATTTTGGTGTTTTAAAAGAGTACCTGCTTTGAGCTACAAGTTTGAGTTGCTCCTGAATCCCTTTCTTTTTCCCGCCAACTGTGGGGTTTACCCTCTGTTTGGTGATATGCGCCCAGGTGTCCTGATCATCTGGGACAGGATGTTTGGCACTTTTGAGGAGGAACGTGATGATAAGCCATGCCTGTACGGCATCGATGAGCGCCAGGTCCCTCTGGGCACCCACAACCCTCTTTGGCAGCAAGTAAGGATCCCCACTTGCTCTTGTACAGCAACATGCCAATGAATATTATTAAAACTGTATATCTCATTGGAGCTGCGCATTCCATTCTTCGATAGATGCCTCTCTCTGAAACATCTTTGCTTTGCAGTTGTCTGATCTCCTCTTGCGTCAGGATGCCCTTCTTATTGTATCTCAGAGCAAGCACATTACATGAGGTGTGGAGCTGCTGGGCATCCACGGAAAATCCTGAAATTGACACGAGCATTCAGCTGCTCACACATACAAGCAATTTAATTGGAAAGCCATAGGTCCCTGTTGTCAGAGTTAAGCGCCTCACTCGCTGGTTTTGCTCGTGGCTGTCATGGTCGTTGTGGATTGCCAGTGCGAGCTCCCGTATCGACTGTGGTACATTCCTGTCCCTGTAGTTGGACGCTTGTTGGCCTACAGACATTCAGGTAGATTGTGCTGTTGCGGATGTTGGCTTGGGAGTGGACATTGCATTTGATTGACTCTGGGCCTTTGCATGTCATGCGCAGCTCTTCCACTGGGTGCCAACCATCAAGCTGTTCCTGAAGACGCACAACCCCATGGTCCTCATTACAAGGGCAACTGGGGAGGGAATGATTGCACCTCACGTTTCTGATGCTCTGACAAGGAAGGACGGTGAGGTCCCTCCCTGCATTTGACGATGACACTCAACTTTGCTGAGATTTGAATGCGCATTCCTGAAGCACTTGTTGATGATGTGACAACCCATGAATCTGAACAGCTAGAAGTTCAGCTGGTAATCGCAACGATTACATGCGCTGATATGGCTTGAGTCTTTCGAGACGGAAAGACCATGGATGTTGATGCACAGGCCATTTTATTGATAGATACACACCAACCCATAACTGCCACGACAGATTGGAGATTTTGAAGGATTAAGTTATGTTGTTTGTCCATATCAGGAAAAGAATATCAGAAGGTAAACAATCAAGTCTTCAAGCTCCCAAAGGACGGCATTCCCTGCGACTCAAGCCCGGTGTCTCTGTTGGACGTCTACGTCTGCATCCAGTCTCTTGCGCTCGCTGGTCCGGCGACGCTCGCCATCATGCGCATGTGCGGCGGCTGGAATCCGGCAGACACAGTGGTCGCAGTCCTCCACACTGGGGGTGCATTCACAACATGTGGTATGTTCCTGGATGGGACAAAAATTGGGCGCAACTACGAAATGGCGAGGTAAGCAAGGAAAATATGCGATTGGTGGGCAATTGTAGGATGTTATGGCACAGACGAGATAAGGTCTCGGGACGATGCGCCATAAGGCTGTTGCAGAACGCACCTGATATTGTATAGAGGAATCCATACCAGACCCCATTCGATTACCCAACCGAAGATTTGAGTTTTTGGCCGATACTCAAGCAGGTTCTGTATACCGAGCGCGGGTTGTTGAATGATAAGTTTGGAACCTGCTGTCCCACATCGCCTGGCCAGGATTCGTCTTTACAGCATAAACACGTTGTATTTACACGTATTTAAGCGCAAGAAAAGTGCCATTTGCGTTTTCCGTGGAAGCGTGCATAGAGATACGTAAATAGAGACAGCCTACACAGATTCAGGGAATCCGGGGAGCGCATGCCAGACGCGCCGCAGTGGGCAGGAAACGACCTTTTGTTCAACAGCGTCGTTGGCCTTGCTGAGGGCGAGGCAGACGTTGTGCAGCAGGTGCCCGAGGGCACGGAGAACTGATCAGTGTTTGCGATCTCATCATGGAACCTGGGTGTCTCATGAGGCTCGTTGATCAACGAGCCTTAAAAGCGCCTAAACATAGCCAGTTTTGAGTTTGCACGTTGTTGCGCATAAACAACCCAATGTAAAACTGGTGCCTTGAACGTAGGGGCCAAGCTTGCTTCTAGAGCATCCTGAAATCCCATCTGACTGATGAAGTTTCTGGGTGCAGGCTGGTACTCTTGGCGGCCACAGCGTGGTTTTACCTGGCAGCGCCCTACGTTTACTGGGTCCAGGCGTACAGCGTGGTCTCCATCGCTGTGTGCGGTTATGTCCACAAGCTCGCAGGCCTGAAAGAGACAAAGGCGAAGGAGGCCTAGGTGGGATGTAGCTTTAGGCGGGAGCGACGCCCACCAATAATTTGCACAATATTCCTCGGCAGTGCCTTGCGTTTCGCCCTTGCCTAGAAATCCACTTGTGAGCGAAAGGAAGTTGTGGAGTGGGGTGGGTGAAAATAATATTCCCATCCTGTGCCTGGCTGCGGGGAACGTGCACGACAGCTATGTACAGCTATGTACAGCTATCTGATGGCTGTGGATGGATGGGTGGCAAAAGGGTGAGGGATGCGAATCTGAGGGTTGAAATTTGAGGTGTATTCTGAGTACTGTGAGCATAAACATCTGAACGCTCAAGTGCCATCTGTTCATTCGCTGGAGCCCCATTGCGGCCTTAATGTGTTCACAGCAACCCATGTGGCCCAAGCCAATGGACATTGACTACTGGCTCTGATTTAAGCATTCGCTTTCGAGTTACTTGGCAATGGTGGCGACACTCGAGTGTGGTCATTTCGATTCTGCGGCTTTATGCTCCTTTTGGCGCCACATCTGTCCAACATATGTCCATTCGACGTGCTGCGGTTGAGTTTCAGCTTTCTCGAGTCGTCGACGGGGACCGTCGCGTTGGGAACATCCCCTGGTGCACATTGGTGGAAAGGGGGGGCGTTCTCGCCGCCTTCAGTCTCTAAACCAACGTTAGGGTTGATGAAACGTGTCCCCCAAGAAAAGTATGACGTCGTACAGGTTGCCGCAAGTGACTCAAGACGCAGGTCAGCTGTTGTCCAGGACTGTCGTTGGCAAATCGCAGCAATGCGCCACAGGTAAGTTGCCACCAAATCCAAGGCGAAATCCACCTTCCATACATAACACTCCGGAGCTGCAGCATCACAGAATAGGCCGCCACAGATGATGTCGATATTGCCGAAGTAAACCACTTCTGTAACAGGGCAAAATTGACCAAAGCTTTGCGAAACGTGGGAGAAACACACTGCCACCGCATCACCAGCAAGAACGTGCGTACGGCTGGCCGGCCCTGTATCACCAGTAAGAACTTCTGTCCCTCCTCCAGCTGGCTGGCGGTTCCCTCGCTGATTCATGTCCAACAGCCCGTGCAACATCCTTAGGTCATCAGAAGAACGGTTTCAGCTCCCTGCCAACCTGTCGACGGGATTCTACAGAACAAAAAAATACTTGGTTGAAGGCGAGGTATCTTGGCAGAATGGGCAGCTCACGTAGCACTGCGAGCTCAGTTGTCCAGGGCGCAAGCCATACGGGTTCACTCTGACCTCCGCAGCGAGGCGACCACGAGGGAAATGGCACATTGCGCAGGACTCTGAAACAAGCGTCTCCGCAGCACTGTGGGGCGGTGTGTATTGGTTTTGCTTGTCAACATCCTAATACTCGACAAAGAACTTATGTACACCGCTTTGGACGAGAGTCACACACATGTGCGCATGTTCCGATTCATTGTGAAATTGTAACCATGCACAATTTGCCTTTTCTGCGCAGGATCGTCTCTTTCCTAATTTAGTCATGCTTAGTCGATTCCTAATTTATTTATAGCTCGGGTCACCAATAATGAGTTCATTGTGGCTCCATTATGCGCCATTCAGCTGCGACAAGCTGGTGCCCCGTGAGGCCCAGAGTTTGGTGACATGGGACTCCAGTACGGGGGAGCCATGGCCAGCCATGGTGGAATCGTATGGACAACATGGTTCCTGGGACAGTATCGGCAGTTCAGGCTACGGCGACAGGACCCAGGGTCAGCGACAACCCGACAGAAACGTTCGCGTAATCCGGCCAACTAAGCAGCGCAGCCACGGAAGCACATCCGAAGCCGCGCGAGCCATGGGGGCTCTGCGCCACCTCCAGGGACAACGAACCTCCGCACAGCCACGCAGCGACTGCCCGCGGGCAGGCGGCCCACTCGACGCGTTCAGGGACAGGCAGGGAAGGATCCTGCCGCGGAAAATCGGTGCAATGCCCATTGTGGGATCGGGCGGCTCCGTGCGCACCCATGGGCCGGCGATGGAGGGGTGCAGCCGCACGGTGGGCTCTCGTACCCGTGCACGGTTAGCCCCCTTCCGCCGGGGGAAAACTACCGCCTCCCTGAGGCCTTTCAGTCTGCCTGTAAAGTTTTCAGGGCGGGGGCTTCTCGGTCGAGAGCCCCTAGCTCGAATGCCCCGGACCCGAGCTGTCGGGACTCGATGGTCCGGGTGGGCAAGGACTGTGCCTAAGGCCGCATGCGACAATCTGAGCCGGTGGGATTACGGAGGAGGGGCTTCCCGCCGATCTGACCGGAGAAGGTTTGCGGCGGCGCCCCTGTGTGTGAAACGCACCGGCCCGGAGGCCTGGGCGGGGCAGCGAAGGGTGTTGTGGGATGGCTAGTTCCGCGGCTCCGTGGGTGGGTCCCGGAGATGACTCAATGGGGGATGGGCGTGGGCGCGGTGTGATGAGGGAATCGCGGATATCGCTGGCAGGATCGGGCTGAATCGGGCGCCATCAAATTAACCTGTATGTTACTTCGTCGTGAGCAGCACGGAAACGGGCCAGCCAGCATGTAAGTTTCCCAGGCAATCATTATAGGGATGGAGTGGTCATTAAGGGGAGGACAAGATACCAATAGATCCCGAATTTTATTAGCAATCGAATGGTGGTTTTTATTGTTGATTTGATGAAGAATTGCGTCTTCTAGGGGATTTTTTCGATGTATGGTAGAAGGCCACAGGGAACCAGGCTGTTCGGAGGACTGACAAGTGACTGATTGGACTGATGGCCAGTCAGGGGGCGGTGGACGGGATGTTGAGATGCGCGCGCATGGATTCCATGCGGGTTTCACGCTGTGCGCACGAGAAGGCCCTCCGTGTCATCTATAAGCAGAGCAAGGATGGCCGGTTCTCAGGGCAGCTCCCGCATCGACAAAATCTTGGAGTGGCGCCATGCCCAATCTCTTCCGGGGCTGAACGACGTGCGGGATTTTTGCCATCAGCTGGAGCAGTTCTAGGCGGCCCGGCTGGCGGCGCCAAGCGGACAGGCGTCTGGTTCCAGTGGAGCGCCCCAAGAAGACAAGAAATGGAGGCGAGCGCGAGACCTGCATGGTGCTCTCATGTCGGTGTGGGAGGAGTCGTTGGCGGACGACCAGAAGATCTTCGATGCCGTCATTCATGCCGGGATGGGCTTCCAGACCTCCCTTGATATGCAGCCGTTGGCGTCGACTGTAAGAACAGAAATTATAGCGCAGTTTGAGACCATGTGCTACATGGGTCTCAAGCCGGCATGGGATGCGGCTCGGAGGGTCAATGGGTTGTCGCAGCTGCGGTTGCTTGACAACAAGCCGGTGGTGTGGCGGGCTGCGGAGGCGATTAAGGATGATATTCGAGCGGCCAGATGGAAGGTCATCGATGACTATTTCCACCAGCGGTTGAAGGTGCAGTCTTTGGAGGAGACGTTCTTGGAGGACGGACGGGTGAAGGCGCTTGAAGCGGACAGGACATTTCTGATGCGGTTGCCGCCGGCCCCTCCCAGGAAGGACATGCGTTCACCAGCTCTGCGAAGGGCGATTGGGGAATGGCATGCGCGTGCTATGGAAATCAAGGAGAAGTGGAGGATTGATGCCATCCGGGCGGAAGTCCAGGGGTGGCTTCAGGGGCACCAACCCAGGCCTGACTTCGACGGTGAGGATACGCCACCGGCGGAGAGGCATGGGTGACTGGGGCAGCGCATGGCGCTGGGTTCGGCCGCCGGACAAAACATTTTTTGATGTGACATGTAAGTGTTACGAATAGGATGTGGGTGTGGGGTTCCTGCCCTCTTTGAGCCGCGGACCCGCCTCGCCGGGCACCTAGGTCCTTACAGGGCACCTAGGCGGGACCACCCCTCCTACTCCCGTATCCTAATATGGATAAAGGTTACAATGGGTGAGGAATAGTACGTGCCTTGAGCAGGGCGTCCCCCACACCAAGGGCCGTTAGTAGGACGTCTCCCACATCAGGCTGGTGCGCGTAACATTCGTCCCCCTCAGGGAGAGGGGCGTCCTCGTCCCAGTATAAGTGAATACGGGAGCAGAAACATTGTATGTATGTTGGTGGAACTGGCTGTGCGATTTGCCACATGCCCAGTTAACAAAACACAACACACAAAACAGTTTTGGATGAAGAGAAAGAGTGGTTGTTTTACATGACCGTCCCCGCCTTCACAACCCTCATTAAAACTCTTCCTCAGCCAAGTGGCTGGAAATGTTTGACCTCCCGGCCTTTCATCGGCGACCACGATGCCGAGTACCACCAGAAGCCCACGCCGGTACAGATCGGCCCGGTGCGGCACCCCGCCGTCGCCCACGTCCGCGTGCACGCTCAGGCGCACGGGGAAATGGCACGCAGGGGTCGGCGGTCTCCAACCTCTCCCCGTTGAGGATCGCGACGGACATGGCGTTCATGTGTCCAAACTGCGACCTTGCATGGGGGGCAGTATACCCAGTGTTTTTCTGGGCCCAGCGCAAGAGAACCTGTCAAAAGCATAAGCACACATGAGCATGTTTCAGTATGTACATCCCATACTTCATGCAGTTTGCATTCGCATCACAGGTGTTCTGCCATTTTCAAATGCTTGAACCAATTCCTGTGCATTTGCAACTGACTTTGCTGATTCCCAGCTGTTATGCTCATGTCCATATCCCAGCCATTTGACAAGGTACTCAACATAGTTTTTGCGTCTCCCACGCTTTTAATCCTTTTGTCAAGGATACGTTCAACTTCATACTC